GCGCTTGTACCGACTGATGGGACTGTCCGGTATGATCCTCGACGGTGCGCATTTCATGCGGTGCCTGTCTCCCATCGCGATGCGCTCCGGGAGCCGCCTGGCGTACATCAATGATTGATGAGTTAGCCGCCCTTCATCACAACAAGACCTGGGTTCTTGTGCCTCATCCGCGTGGAGTCAATATTGTTGGCAGCAAGTGGATATTCAAGACCAAGCATCGTCCTGATGGCTCTGTTGATAAGTACAAGGCCCGACTGGTCGCCCGTGGTTTCACCCAGCAGCTTGGCATTGACTATGGCGACACGTTCAGCCCGGTTGTCAAGCTGGCTACAGTTCGATTGGTTCTTGCTCTTGTTGTCTCTCGTGGTTGGAGTCTTTGGCAGATTGATGTCAGTAACCCCTTCCTTCATGGTTTCTTATCTGAGGATGTCTATATGCAGCAGCCGCCTGGTTTTGAGGATCCCCGGTACCCCTCACATGTGTGCAAGCTGCAGTGGGCTCTCTATGGACTCAAACAGTCCCCTCGTGCATGGTATGCTCGGCTCAGTGCGCGTCTTCTTCAGCTTGGTTTTGTCTCCTCCAAAGCGGACACATCTCTGTTCTTCTTTCGCTATCATGATGTTTAGATCTATATGCTGGTCTATGTGGACGATATTGTTATCGCCGGATCTTCTCCACGAGCTGTTGATGGTCTTGTTCACTCCCTTGTGGCCAGTTTTCCTATCAAGGACCTTGGGCCGTTGGAGTACTTCCTTGGTTTGGAAGCGTCATACAATTCAGGGGGGATGACATTGACTCAACAGAAGTATGCCTTGGATCTTTTGCACCGTGTGAGCATGGAGAATTGTAAGCCCACTTCCACACCGTTGTCTACCTCAGATCAGCTTTCCCGAGTGTCTGGACAATCTCTCAGTACCGATGATTCTTTCCGGTATCGCAGTGTCGTTGGTGGACTACAGTATTTGACACTCACCCGTCCGGATATTTCGTTTGCAGTGAACAAGGTATGCCAGTTTCTCTCGCAGCCATCTGATGTTCATTGGGAATCTGTTAAGCGCATTTTGCGCTATGTGAAAGGGACATTGCACACATGACTGAAGTTTCGGAAGGCTGCCTCCACTAGCATTAGTATTTTTACTGATGCATATTGGGCAGGATGCCCTGATGATCGACGATCCACCGGAGGCTTTGCCATCTTTGTTGGACCGAATCTCATTTCCTGGAGCTCTAAGAAACAGCCGACGGTGTCGAGGTCCAGTACTGAGGCCGAGTACAAAGCTTTGGCAAATGGAGCTGCCGAAGCCATCTGGGTAGAATCACTACTCAGAGAGCTTGGTGTTTCACAGCAGCGTTTTCTCGTTCTGTGGTGTGATAATTTAGGAGCCATCTGACTGCCAACCCAGTTTTTCATGCGCGTACCAAGCACATTGAGATTGATTTCCATTTTGTGCGTGAGCGTGTAGCTTCTGGAGCTCTTGAGGTCAGGTTTATTTCCTCTAATGATCAGCTGGCTGATGTGTTCACCAAACCAGCCACTCGACAGATGCTAGACCGTTTTAGTTACAATCTAAACCTTGTACAGAGTAGAAGTTCAGATTGAGGGGGAGTGTTAAAATATGTCTAGCGTGTCACATACATGTATTTTGTATTTATGTAATTGTATGTGCTAATCATTATATATAGAGAGACGTGGAGAGGCATTGCCCCACGGAAAACCCTAAACCTTATTCTCAAACTGAAAGAAAAATTGAAAAGAATTGAAGAAGAGAAGATGAAATTGGAGTTGTATGTTGCCGATGTCATCAATGATCACAAGATCAAGATGGATGCTCTGCGCTTGGAGATTAGAAAGATTAGAAAATACGTCATTAATAAAGAGGCTTTGTATTATTATGTTGTTGGATCAATTGTTACCTTAGTTGTGATCTTGATCGCATTTATTGTTGCATTTAAATGCTTTAGCTAGATATAGTTGTATGTTGTTTTATGAGAATAAGTGTGTATGAATTTTATGTATGAACTTGTATTAATTTGGTCTTTTCGGTGTTGAGTAATGAAGACGAGCCGGCGCTGGATGTATGATAACCGACGCTCTCCCCAGTTCATTAATGGCATGCATAGTTTTCTGTGTGCGGCTGAGGCAAACAAGCAGGATGATTTTATGTGTTGTCCATGTAAATATCTAATCATACAAATAAGATTTATTTTTTTATAAAAGGGATAAGAACAAGAGGCTCACCAAGCTGGTGTCGGCGACGGAACGGTGCGGGCGATAAATGGTGGGTAGGACGGGGACAGGAAGGCAGTAAGTAAATCACACCTATACATATGCAAACTAAGAAGTTAATTCGAGCTCAAATTGCATATAAACCAAATAAACTCCCACAAAATTACTCCCAAACTAAAACCACAAATCACTATACTTATAGAGCATTGCACGAGCTAATCTAGTAATGAGAGATGAAAGGACAAAGTTGCTAACCTTTGTGAACACTTGGAGAGATGGGGTGCCTCAAATCTTGACAAATCTTGGCACAAAATGGATGATGAGCTCGAGCTAAGGGGAAGAACAGAGAGGGGAATGGAGAAAACAGAGAAATGGGCTCGGGCTGGATGAAGGGTTTATAGAGGGACATCTTTAGTCCCGGCTGGTTATACAAACCGGGACTAGAGGTCCACCTCTCACAAATCGGGACTAAAGGGGCTCGTGGGGGGCCCAGCCTGACGACAACCTGCCACCACCCCTTCAGTACAAATGAACCGGGACTAATGATGCTTGTGGCCCCGTCTGCTTCTAGCCGTTGGAACCGGGACTAATGGTGACATTATTCCCAGGCCGAAACCAGACCGGGACTAAAGGGGCGGACGAAAAGTCTGTTTTCTACTAGTAGTGGTTCTCCAATTGGTTCGATAACCTTGGTTCTTACCGAGGAAAATACTTATCAGCTACTATATTGCTTCACCCTTCATCTTCGGGGAAAATCCAAATGTAGCTTACAAGTAGCACACCCAGGAAGAGGCTAGCATCACCTACAGCTACCGCAACACCATCCAAGAGGACCAAGGTTGCTGCTACTTCTTTTGCACCACCACCCAAGAGGACCAAGGCTGCTGCTACTTCTTCTGCGGCACCACCCAAGAGGAACAAGGCTACTGCTACTTCTTCTCCGGCTCCACCCAAGAAGACCAAGGCTACCACATCTTCTCTAGCCAAAAACACTAGGTCTTCCAAAGCCTCTCCAACAAAAAGACCAGAGCAGCAAAGGCAAGCAGTGTATCCTTCATAACATTCAATGCTCCAAAGCTAGCAACTCAATCTGAAGAGCGGAATGGGTCCAAGAGGGTTAGGAAGCCAAATAGGAAGTGGATGGAGTACTTCATCATCAGTGGCATCACTGGACTACTTGTGTGTTTGCCTTGAAAAACTAAACTACTAGTGTATTTGGCTTGAAAAAACTGAACTACATGTGTGTTTGGGCTTGTATCAGTGAATCTGCTAGTTATTTGGCTTGAAGAACTCATGAAACTTGTTGTGGAAAATTTACCAGTGAACTTGTTGTGCTATCTGGCTGACTATAGGTGTGGTCAATTCTTTATCAGGGAACATGTATCTGTCAGTTTCAATTGTGGTTTGTAGCCATTAGCTCAACGTATCCTTTCAACATCAAACTCAATGTGTCAAGGCCAACAGTTGACAAGAGACTGGGTAGGCAAGACCACCTTTCTGTCGGATCGAGGCCAGTAGTTGAAAGTGTCTGACTGGCGTTGTCAGAGCAGTGCTCGCGACAGTCCAGGAAGGCCAAGGTCCTCTGCATCTTAACAAAGGCAATGAGTGCTAGCAACGTGCAACGTCCTTGTCAGACCCCCGCAGAAAAAGATGCACACAATCCCTCTGGGACGGCAGGACACCAGGAAGGCAAGGTAAATATTCGGAATGACAAGCCCACCTGGAATCACATGAGAAGGAGGAAACAAGGCGAACCGATAAGACGATCGACGGTCTAGGAAAGAGTGCGACCATCGAGCACGTGAAGCATACGCATCGGTGGGCCTGGTAGTAGGGGTAAAAGGCCGGGAGAAATGGCGGAACACGCCACCTGACCAGCCGCAGCAGTCATCACCGGAACACAACACATGATCCGTCCAGCTGCAAGGGTGTCAAGGTCCAAGCATCACTCAAAAACTGCACCCAGATCCTTCTAGCCGCATGCCGACGCATGCACGGAGAGGCACAACCGCATTGGCGACCGAAAGGGGAAGGGGTCGGCGAGGAAATGGTGATTTTCTATGTCCTTTTTCATTTTATCTACTTTTTATTTATGTTTTAGTCGTTTGTAGTATGGGTTTGCACTGTCCGGCGATGAACTATGATTCGGCTTTATCGGATGAATTAAACGTGTTTGTCACATTTATGTACGTACGTTGCATGGGTTGCACAGATTTGGAGGTTCATATATGAGAGATGCGACCTGAAAGTTGATAAATGAGGTGTGCTTGATCACTGTTCGCGGACACGTTCAGATAGACACTTTTACGGGTGTTTGAGGGGGAGTTTAGTGTTTCCGATTGTAAATGCTCCAAGGGAAGGGAGTGTGCCAATTGATAGGGGACGAGGGTAAACTGGACTTTTCCTTTCTCACTGGAATGGAATGCTGCAGCCGGTCAAACTCTGTCGCCATCCTCTTCCCTGCCCAGTTCCCCATTCCCCGTCCTCCAGTTCGACATTGATGAGGTCCGCTGGCCGTCGCCTCTAGCTCGCCTCTGACACACACATGGATCTCCGCCCGACGGTACGTTGTTCATAGCCTTTTTTTTTTGACAACAAATGTTGGATCAATCGAGTTCTAACACGCTCAGATCTTATTTTGCACTCAGGGCCAGGATGCATGGCCTTGACCGGGATCTGCAATTTCTGCGGAGAGCTACTGGGTAGGTGCTAGCTGAAGGTCGACAGTGGTCAGTTGGTGCTGCACTTAGTGGCGGCGGCGGGGAGATACATAATGGAGCTGGCCGTAGGCGCCTCGGGGGCCACCATCAAGTCCCTGCTGACCAAGCTAGGCGGGCTTCTTGCGGACGAGTACGCCCTGATCCGCGGCGTCCGCGGCGACATCCAGTTCATCAACGACGAGCTCGCCAGCATGCAGGCCTTCCTCAGCAACCTCAGCGCCGGCGGCACCGACGGCCACGACGACCAGACGGTTGACTGGATGAAGCAGGTCCGCGAGGTCTCCTTCGACATTGAGGACTGCGTCGACGACTTCTCCCACGGCCTCCGCCCGGACCCCCGGAGCAGCAGCTGGCTCTCCACGGTCAGGGCGCTGCTCTACGAGATCCAGACGGCGTCCCTCCGCCGCAGCATCTCTGTTCAGGTTGCCGAGCTCAAGCAGCGGGCGCAAAATGTGGGTGAGCGCCGCGGCAGGTACGGCGTCCGCGACCCCAAGAACAGCAAGAAGAAGGCTAGCTCCAGCGGCGCCACCGGATACCTCGCCGCCGAGCATCAGGGGACAACCCGGCAGCTCATCAGCATCAAGGAGCCCGTGGGGGTGAAGGACTCGGGTCTCCTTGAGAAGTGGATCGGCTATGATGATGGCAAGAAGCAGCTGGGAGTGCTGTACATTGTTGGCTTTGGTGGGGTGGGGAAAACCACCATTGCCAAGTCGCTCTACCGAAAGTTTGGGGATCAGTTTCAGCACCGCGCAATGGTCACTGTATCTCAGAATTCTGAGCCTGACGAGGTACTGATGAGCATAATTAACCAAGTCAAGCCGCAGGCCGGCAGCGAAGAGCAGCAAGGCCAGTGTAGCCCTGATACCATGTCTGGGGATAAATCGATTCTCAAAAGCATATTGAGCCGAATTTTATCCCCGGCCCGAAATCAAGAAGAGCAGAACCAAAAGCACCAAGGCATACAAACAGCGTTGCAAAATTACCTCAAAACAGACAGGTATCATGTATATACCAGTTCTTTCTTGCTTTCCCATTTAACTCTTGCTGACACAGTTTGAATTGATTTGCTACTTGCTACTCCTATACTGCCTTTCCCCCCATCAAGCAAGAATTATTGGAGAAAAAAGGGGGAAAAGGATATCCACCATCCATAGCGAGCGTGTTGGCAGATCAAAGAAAAATAAGTTAGTCAAGTTCGAGAATTGACATACTGACTTCAAACAATTAATCATACCATATGGATCTGCCAACTAAGTTCTATTTCCAAGGGTTCCTAGCTTTTTTTCTCCTTTGCACTTCAGGAAGCATAACCCCAGCAGTACAATCATGTTGTGCTCACCAGTTGCAGGTCTTGTATTTTACCAATGGGTTGCCACACTTGACGCAGTTAACTTGACAATTCAGTTATCTTGTAAAATACTCCCTCCGTTCCAAAATTCTTGTCTTAGATTTGTCTAAATACGGATGTATCAAGTCCGTTTTAGTATTAGATACATCCTTATCTAGGCACATCTAAGACAAAAAATTTGGGACGGAGGGAGTAATACACTGTCTAGATTCTAGACCTGATTTTTTTTTTTTACTAAACAGACGCAGGTAACTCAAGAGCTCAGATAGTTACAATGGCTTCAAACCTTGAGCATTCTGTTTTTTTTTGAATTTAAAGTATGAACTACTCCTCTGTTCATAAATATAAGACGTTTTAGAGACTCGTGTCAAGTCCAAGTCTCTAAAATGTCTTATATTGATGTACAGAGGGAGTTTGCTTTTTGTGTAAAAGCTGAGCTAGAGTTAAAAATAGTAACCCTATCCACAAAATGAAGACACCAAATCAAAGGAGGAAACTAACTAGCTGTTGGTACCTTGACGTTGATCTCTACTAAGTAGTATATCAAGTACAACTAGGACTACACGGTTTTCTTGTGGTGTTAAGCTATATGCTGTCACTTCCTACCATGGCTGAGGAGTTCCTGGCGTCAATGTCAGCCATGAAAGAACTATGTTGCTGCCCTCCAAATCATCACAACTCAGTGGTACAAATAATATTAAGAAGTGTTGGGGGCAAAGTTTTTTATCTGGTTTAACTTTAAATATGAGACAAGTTTCCAATTTTTAGACAGAGTAAATCCAATTAAGATAAAAGACAATGCAAGACCCAAAGTTAATTAACGAAATATCAAATCTGAATTTGTAGGCAGCGTCATGAGTACGCCATGCCCAAATGGAAATACATGCTGTCCTCTGATGTATTTTCTTCTCTTATTCTTTGGCAGGTACTTACTGTTAATTGATGATGTCTGGTCATCACCTACCTGGCAGACTATCAAGAGACATTTTCCTCAAAATGATAAAGGCAGCAGAATAATTGTGACTACACGGTTTCAAGCTGTCGCCACAGCTTGTTATACTCACAAAGACGCCGATTATCTCTATCCAATTAATGTTCTTTCTGGTGACGAGTCTGAAAAGTTGTTTAAGGAGAGCCTGTTGGAGTGCAAGCGTACTGCAGCCAATCAACCAAGTGAGAGCAATGTTCCAGAGAGAGTTTGGGGAATGTGTGGCGGCTTGCCATTGGCTATTGTTACAATGGCAGGTCTTGTGGCATCCAAGCCGTTGAGGGTCAAGAATGAATGGACTGAAGTTTGTAACTCTTTGTTTCCAGAACCAGAAAAATGTCGTAAACCTGAGGACTTTATGAGGATAATCAATTATTGCTACAGTGATTTGCCTAGTGATCTCAAAACTTGCTCTCTGTATTTAAGCATCTTCCCCAAGGGTCGCAAATTTAGTAGGAAGCGGTTGACGAGAAGATGGATCGCGGAAGGCTTTGTGAGTGAGAAGCAGGGTTTGAGTGTTGAGGATGTTGCGGAGACATGCTTTAATCAGCTGATTGAAAGGAAGATAATTCGGCCTGTAGAGCACAGCAGCGATGGGAGGGTGAAGACCTGTCAAGTCCACGACATGATCCTTGAGTACATCATGTCCAAGGCAGGCGAAGAGGATTTCGTCACTGTGGTTGGTGGCTACTGGTCAATGACAACACGTAGCAACAAAGTCCGCAGGCTTTCTCTCCACAACAGTGACTCCAAACATGCAAAAAAAGCAGATAGCATGAACCTGTCTCATGTGCGATCACTGACTGTGTTTGGGAGCCTTGAGCAGCTGCGTTTCAAGTCATTCAAGGCCAGAATAGTGCAAGTACTAGACCTCGAAGGCTGCAGAGGTTTTAAGGCAAGTCATGTGAGTGTCTCCGACATATGTGAAATGACTCTACTCAAGTACCTGAGCCTCCGAGCAACAGATATCAGCAAACTTCCATCAAACATCGGGAATCTCAAGTATTTGGAAACTCTGGATGTAAGGCAGACGGAGATTCAAGAGCTTCCGAAAAGTATCAGTCAGCTGGAACGAATAAATAACATACTTGGTGGAGATAAGAGGACAAGGAAAACCCTGAAACTTCCCAAGGATGTCAAGGGAACAATGAAAGGCCTACGCATATTGTCAGGCGTTGAGATTATCCAGGGATCAACTGCTGCATCAGACCTTCGCCATTTCACCAGGTTGAGGAAGCTGGCCATTTACAAGCTCCACAAGGAAGAACGGATATTCCAAGATTTGCTCTCCTCTATCCAGTACCTCAGCGGCTATTCACTCCAAAGTCTTGTAATTGACGACGAGTCATCTGATTTCCTGAACACCCTGGACTCTATGACATCCCATCCACTGGACCTCAGAACTCTGGAGCTGTCAGGCAAGTTGCTGAAAATCCCAGAATGGCTTCCACGTCTCAGTGAACTTATCAAATTAACTCTTTCGGCAACAGCTCTCCGGACAGATAATCTGGCGCTCCTAAGCAAGCTAGATTCACTGTTTTCCCTGACCTTTTCAATCAGTGAGGCAAATAAGGATCCTGACTTGGCAGCCATTCTCGAGAAAAACAAATCTGACTCCAGAGGAGAGATCTTTTTCCCAGATGGAGGATTCATCAAGTTAAAGCTGCTTCGCGTATTTGTGCCTCTACTTCCATCACTCAACTTCTCAGAGAAGGGTACACCGCTGCTCGAAAGGCTTGAACTCCGCTTCAAAAGGTTTGAAGGTGTTCATGGCATGGACAAACTTAAGAAGCTCCATGATGTGATCTTAACAGTCGATGACAAAGCTGGTAAACTTACAAAGACGATGGTGGATGATTTGAAGAAAAGCTCATCATCAATCACATCATCAAAGAAGTATACTCTGATTGTCAACGAGTATCATGGCTGAGTGGAATTGATTGCAAATCCGGCTAAAATTATCTTGTCTCTCATCTTGGGAGCGGAACTGGTTGCTGCTTGTATCTAAATTTGTAATTTACTCACTGTACTGGTGTATTATGGGTCAAATTGTAAGGGTGCATTAAGACCTTTAATATGTTGCATTTTAATAATTATGTTTATGAACAGAGGGAGCATTTTAATATGCGTGCATTTTCCCTTTTTTTTCCTGTGTTTTTAAATCCTACAGGGCAAAGAGGACCCTGCTGAAGGAACCATACAAAGTAGAATAAATCAGCATTCCTTTAGGCTGTGTTTGGCTGACAGGGATTTGAAGGGGGTTTGGCAGGGATTGAAGTGGAGTTAATCACCTACAAATCAAAATTCCCTCAAATCCTCTTGAGAAGGGGTTTAACCGAACAAGGCCTTACTGGGATCATCAGCATCACTACACAGCTATATTTCCATTGTGACTTTGGCTCATGCTGCTTATGTACAAATTTTCATTTTCTGGATAAAATCAGATATGACTGTTGAGTTGAAACCCTGCCATGATGGAGAACAGTGGGCAGATTTGGTCTGGAAGATTCTTTGGTTCCGTTCCATCCAAATTACCCAACTGGTGAGAATGATCAAAGGCTGGATACCAAGTGAAGAAAAGTTACATTTTGACAGGTCAACTAATAATTGAGTCTAGTGAAACACAGGGTGAAGCTACAATAAAATGGTGGCTATCCATTAATCAAAAACAGAGTGACAGGGCACCAGATTTCATAAGCTTGTTCTTCCAAGAGAAAAAGGGGAAGGAAATAAAGGAACATGATGACTCACGAACCGCATAATTGAAATGGTTCTACACAGAAACAAATTACAAGTAGAATGACCGAATGGTTCTACACAGATTCATACAAATACAACGGTGGGAATGGAGTGCCATCATACAGGTGAAGAGACAATATTCCACCTGCCAGCACAAATGGCTCCATTTTTATTAGCACAACTGACAATATCCCACCGATCATGTGATAATCTCAGTGAGTTGTTATCCTCCAGCTGGATGCGTGCAGGCCAGGATAAGTCTTCTAGTACCAACCTACAAAAGGAAATATAAACAGAGGAGCAAGTCAAGTTATTACCACTAGAATGTAGTTCTCTGACCACTTAATCTGGCATTACACACCCTAAAGCTTCAAAACCAGAGCATTTAAATTTTGAAGCCATATGCCTGTTGAATAATATCCATACACAAGAACGCGATGAATATCAAAACTTTACATCTTAATGGATGGCTTTTGTTTAATTCTATGTAGGCAACTGAAAAATTGAAATTCCATTAGAAGCTAAGATATTTCTTTGCTACATGCGCAAAGATGTCAGCTATGACCACATATAACCTTATCAAGTGTAATTGGCAGGACAGTGCAAAAGGTCGCGACAAGAGCATGGAATCTTAAGCCCTTCAACTAGATTACTAGGTGTAGTGTACGTTTCTACATGTAAGTGTCCAGTATATACTCCCTCCGTTCCTAAATATTTGTCTTTTTAGAGATTTCAATGGACTACCACATACGGATGTATGTAGACATATTTTAGAGTGTAGATTCACTCATTTTGCTCCGTATGTAGTCACTTGTTAAAATCTCTAGAAAGACAAATATTTAGGAACGGAGGGAGTACAAAATAGGCTTATTTTATGGGGGCATGTGATCAGGGTAATTAAATAAAAAGATCAGATGAGCTGCGTACCAGAAGGCAGGCAGATTTCTTCAGCTAAGTCGCGTTGGCAGTGGGTGAGTACCAGTCCTCCTCATCTTCTTCTTTCTCAGCATCCTGCTTAAATCAAATAGCAGAAAACCGTAAGTACTAGCTGGCCATGTAACAATGAGCATGGTATATATGTATGGTAAAGCAGAGTCGTTTAGCATTTGGACTTACCTCATCCAAGGACAGTTCGAATTTGCTGACATGAAGTGTGGGACTGTTGCCATGTACTTTAACTGCGAGCCTGAGCGCTTCCTCCACCTCCTCAGCATGGTACACCTCCACGTCCGAGTGGAAGATTTCAACTCTGACTTCCATAAGCCAAGGGAGGTTTCCCAAGAAACCACACTGAAAACTGGCATCATTCAAGGCCGACAACCTGACGTTGAAATGGACAGATTCAAGTCGTGGAGCAGCTCCCTGTAGGAACCTGAGCATTCCAGAGGTGTAGCAGTGCCTCAGCTTGGGGAATGCACTGCCAGGGTGGCCCTCAAATAAGAGTGAGACGCTGTTGGGCACGAACAGCTCGAGAGTCGTGAGCTCTGGGAAACTCCCAAGAATCTTCAGATCCTCCGCCTCCACAGCCCTTACATCCACTGATAAGTGGGAGAGGTTCGGAAGAAAGGAGTCCTTAATCCATCTCGGCAGTCTTGATGATTTGGTCCGTAGGCTTAGACAGCGGAGTTGTCGAGGGGGCACATATCCTTCCCATTCGGCATCCTCTATCCACAATCCACCATCAAGATGCAAAACTTGGATTTTCTGCAGATTGCCAAGAGACTTCACCAGAGCTTTCTTTGACCTCTCATCCAACCAACGGATCCAAACCTTTAGGTCCCTCAACTCTGCCAGCTTGCTCACCTCTTTCACAAAGTTTGGACAACTGCTGACATCGTTCAATGATAGTTCTTCAAGGGATGTCAGGCTACCAATCCAATCAGGAACTTTCGTGGAACCACCGTCAGCGCGCAGGCACTTGAGTCTCCTTAGCTGACTAATACTATCTGCCAGTTTTGGTATCCCAGTTTGCCTTAGGTCCAGCACTTCCAAATATTTTAGTTTCCCTACTTCTGTTGGAAGCTCACGAACAGGAGTTTTCTGTAGTCCCAGATACCTCAAATGAAGCAACTCTCCGATGTGTTCTAGACTATAAGCACCACCTTCCGTGTGAAAGCTGCAATCTTCTATAGCTAGGACACGTAACACTTGAAAGCTTACCAAAGGTGGAATCATGGCTGTATGACACATGAAGGCATTAAATGACCTCACTTGTGACATGCCAGTGTTAGCCTGAAGACACTGCTCTTCCTTGTGGAGGGCTAATCGACGAGCTCTAAATTTCATAGACGTGTGCTGCTGCTTGTTACTATTCAGTATGGTAACAAAGCTTTTTTCTTGTGCAATAGAACAGATCATATCAAGTATCATATCATGGACACGGCAACCAATTATACCACCACTATGTGGGATCTCTACGGGTTGGATGAGGCTTCTGTTAATAAGCTCGTTGAAGTATCGCTCTCCGATCTCAAATAACCCAACTCCTGATTCAGCCTGGATAAAGCCTTCGGCAACCCACATCCATATCAATGCATCTTTTCTGACCATATAATCCTCTGGAAATATGCTCAGATGCAATAAGCAAGCCCTCAGATAAATAGGTAGATCATAATAGCTTAACAAAAGTATATTTCTTAGGTTCTCAATGTCATTCCCATTTGCAAGCCCAGGACCGATAGAGTTGTACACCTTGTACCGATCCTCCTTTGGTGTACTGGACAACAAATTTGCTATTGTAATGATAGCTAGTGGTGCCCCGCCACATTTTTGCAGAATTTTCTGAATTAGGTGAGTTTGCTCATCAGGGAGTTCGACTTTACCACCAAATAATCTCTTATAGAATAATTCTTCAGATTTATCATGAAAAAGTGGCTCTAGTTTGTAAACATCACCGGCATTTAAGGCAACATCATAAATCCGAGTAGTTGTGATTACTATACTTCCAATATTGGAATCCACCAAAGCACATCTGATTATTTGCCATGCTTGTATATCCCATATATCATCGAGAACTAAGAAGTACCTATCCACATGTCAAAGCAAGGGTTATAGATTAGAAAAACTATCCAGAGTGTCCAACGAAGAACAAGAAGGCATGGTGAAGAGCTGTACCAGCATTGTCCAAAATGCCATTGCACAAATGAATATGAAAATAAAGAAAAGAGGGGTAACAATCAACTGACTTAGACTGATTTCATTTCATGAACAGGATTGATATAATTATGTTATATTCTGTAAGTATATATAAGAACGTGCAGAGGTTACCCTGGTCATAACGCAAACAAAAGATGTCCACCAAAGTAAACAACAACTTTTCATACCCCTCTTGAAAGTTAGTTTTAAGGTTTTGACACAAGTTGCTAAGAGTGAAATAAATAGTTTTTTGGACAGTGTGTGGTTCATCTGGGTCAAACGACGCTTGTGCAGGGTAAGTTCATGTCCAATTTTCCTCTTTTGTGGGTGCGTTACTTTGTGACCAAGATCGAAATCTTGTGCATGCATATCAACTTAATACGAATTATGGAAAGGAAAGAGAAAAAAAAACGTAAAACCATCACAATGAAAATAGACTGTTGGTTGAGATGTCTTTTCTATTGGGCAGAGCAAAGTGTGTGGTCAAATATACAGTAGGGTGGGTGGTGCATACCTCTTGTTCTGAATTAGATTTCGAATTTCATCTGTGCATATCTGCATTGTTGCTGTACCGAAATCCAAATACTTTTCCTTGTCGATCTGAAGAAGAATGTCCTTGAAAACTTTCTTCAGATCAGCATTACGACCCACTGAAATGAAAGCTGTGCAATCGAATTGTGTTCGTATCCTGTCGTACACTGCTTTGGCCAGTGTCGTCTTGCCCAGTCCTCCATAGCCCACAACGGAGAGTATCTTTAGCTGCTGCTGATTGTTACCTCCACCTGACATCAGCCTCTTGATTATCTCGTCACTTGCTTCTTCTATGCCAACGAGTTCGCTGGCCAGCTTTGTGCCTTGTGCTGCCCAGATCTGAGATCCACGCGACCATAAGATATTTCCCCTCTGTCACTTTGACACATAGAAAGTCCTCTCTCCTTTATCCTTGTCCCATCCCACCCACCCAAAGCCTCTCGTCTACTACCCTATAAAGTCTCAAGAAAACTCATCTACTACCCCTATAAAAACACGAAGATACAAAACTTAGCCATATCCCTC